AGCCCCGTCCCCCTGTTTGTCCCTCTCCTCGGCCGCAGCATGGCTGTGGCGGGTTCACTTGCATTCCTAATACTAAGATGTTGCTGGAGATGATTAGGGAGTGAGATGGAGGCAAGATGAGGGAGAAGTGACGTTGGTTCCAGCTTGTGTTTTTTTCTTCTTCTTCTTCTTGTATTCTTCGTTCTTCTTCTTTCCTTCTCGTATTCTTCTCTGAGTGGAATTGTCTCTTTGTAATGTTTTGCATTGAGAACTGACCAGGATCATAGCACAGAGAAAGAAATGGTGGTTCACATGCACCACAGATCAGTCTTAACTTCATAACTCACAGATGCTGCCATTAGACCTGTCTATGGGCCCAGTCACTCAGTCGTTGAGATCAACAGCAAGTTCCACAGTGATTCACCTGTTAAGTTCCTACTACCTAGACATTCTTGTTTGTTTGTAGGAGAAACACGCAAAACAGCACGCATAGTATTGCATACAGAAATTTGCTACTTGAGCAAAGATTGCATAGCAGCATAGGCATTGTCATGTCAGCCGGTCCAGTTTCCGTACTCACTCAGACTTCCTCAAACATGCATTGACAACGACACCATGAGTGGAACCAACATCACATGCACTTGAGCTTGTCACACCAGGTCGCGAAACGACACCATACACGAGCGAAGAGACAAGTGGTAACCGAAACCAAATCCAATTTCGAGTCAAAGTACAATATGTCATGTCACAACCCGACCTTCCCAGACATTTCTCCGAGGCAGAGTTTTTTAGATTGACCTACACCAATGCAAACACATATCAAGCAAGGGAATGAAATTGTGGAAGCTTGCAACTCACCATGTACCATTTCACACTTTTGCTCCCAGTAGCATGTGCCAACAGGACATCTATCAAGGTCTTTGAGGCAGCAGGGGCTTTTGTCTGAACATGGATCAGTTCGCAAGGGTGCTTTCTGAAAGTCCGTTTCACAATTTCCTACACATCCAAAGGTATGAAAAACAGATGAGAAAGGGGCAGGAGAAGTAAGATGGGAAGAAGGATAGCATGATCAGGCAATGTTGAAAGGCAAAGAATAAGACAAGCGACAGAGCCAGGATAGGGAGTAGGGATATGGCTGCAGCAGGAGTTTGGCAATGAGTAGCAGGAGGCGCAGGAAGGGGGATGAGGGTCTCACGGGGTGGGGCAGGAGTCGGACAATGAAAAGAAGGACAAGGAGTGTGAGGAGGTCGGAGAAAGCTGTGAAGATAGGAGGAGAAGATGACCTGTCAGGAGAACGGTGGGGAGCAGTAGCAGTAGGGAGAGCACAGGGCAGAGTTGGGTTGCAAGGGGACGAGAAGCACATTAGGTCCATTTCTCAACTTCAGGCAACAGAACTGATAGCAGTCACATCAAACAAGCACACATGATTGCAAGAATGACTCGTCACACAGTTAAGCACTGGACAGACAAGCCTCAAAGATGAACTGCAAAGAGATACATGAAAGGGGATATGTCTGGGATCAGTCTCAGTTTGCTACAACTTCAAAATGGTGTGGCGAGGGCGGAGAAAGGTGTGGAGAAACGAGGAGAAGATGACCTGTCAGGAGAAGGGTGGGGAGTAGGAGTAGGGAGAACACAGGGTAGAGTGGAGTTGCAAGGGGAGGAGAAGCACATGAGGTCCATTTCTCAACTTCAAGCAACAGAACTGATAGCAGTCACATCAAACAAGCACACATGACTGCAATAATGATTTGTCGCACAGGTAGGCACTGGACAGACGAGCATCAAAGATGAACTGCAACAAGATACTGGGAAGGGGATATGTCTGGGAGTCTCAGCTTGCTACAACTCCAAAATGGTGTTAAGCTGATTACAGAAGCATACTCATCCTTTTTTTTTTTCTTTTTTTTTTTTTTAAAGAAAACACCAGCCATAACAGCTAGAGATGATGATAAGAGCATACACCTCTATCTGTGTAACTGATGGCTCCATTCCATTGGTGGGGAGCTTCACCTGCTGGGAAGCGGGTCCAGCGTCCCCTCAGATTACAGAAAAACAGAGTTGTTTGTGGATATTGGTTGGGGCATAGATAACCTCTTCCGCACATAAGAGGCCGCCATATACTGCACAA